TGCGATTTTCTTTCATACGTAGATAGGCACCTTCTTCAATCAATCCTTCACAGCGGTTAACTATCAGCTTGCTCAATCTACTCGATTGCGGGTCGCCCCTCTGATCTTCTGAGCTCGATCACGTATCGTGTCACAATACTCACCCTCCCCTTCGCAAATATATCCTCCAAAGTGAATGTAGCAAAATAAAGTAACAGGTCTCAAAGATATCCTTTCTCATACCCCATACACGGCACGACTTACACACAACCTTATTAGGCACTACCTTTTCTTTCTCCTAAACTTGCTGTTAAAGCAGATAATAATTTTTTTTGCAAAGCATTAGAAAGCGATACAAGCAGCAGGTGCTGAAGACGCTGGGTGCGTTGCTTGGTGGGAGTCCATTGCTTGTTGTGTTAGCGAATGTGTGATGTGAGTTGGGGGCAACACGACAAGCATTCAGTGACCCTTGATGACCTAGCAGTATAGAGAGCTGGACTAAAATTGTGTAGGCAGCAGCATCAGGTTGGGTGTAGATAATAGAAAGGAGAAGGCCCTTAACAGTCTTACAGTATGATGTGTGTATGTATTTCATCTCGCTGGCATAAGTGTCGTCGCTAGAACTATGCGGTCGGAAGCCTGACAAGCGCTGCATTCTGCGTGATCTGCTTATTGTTTGTAACTAATGACTTGTGGTCACTTGCATGCTTCGTGCACAAAATCCGTTTTCAATTTCTCTTGAAGTGCTTGTTCGCATGCTGCAGTCGATTGAACTATTCGAGAACAACATCGCACATGCCACTTCTGATGCTTATCATGCTAGCGTCGGGAGGCGCTGGTCGGATTCTTGGTGTATGAGCGTCGTCCCGATACCGGATTGTGGTCAGTCTGAGTAGTATCAACTAGCTGCTCTCATTACAGGTTCTTTCACTTTCATGCTTTCTAGACGGCATCGGCTCATAGAACTGATGAGATGACATTTGTATCCGTCAACAAGTCTACAGTACGCATAGCCACCGTTTTACATCGCAGCGTGCATTGTGTCAATACTACGCCACACTAATCCTAGCTAAAGCTAATCTCGTTTACCGTTATAATTATCAAACTGCCCAAAGCGGCAACAACTGCAAAGTACATTGATTACTAAGGCTCGTTTGGGACGCATTTGGGCCGAATAGATAAGTAGATATCTGTGGATTGCTCAGGTCCCGCGTAGCTCTGACGTTTGCTTGGTGGTCAAAGCGTATCGCTAGCCTATCAGTGGCATGCACGCGGCTGAAGTTGCCGCTCTGTTGGCATGTGTCTGAGCTCTGCGGCCCACTTAGCCTATTCCACAGCTTGCTCCTCCTACTGGGCGTTGCGCGGTGTTGCTCTACATGTTAAATCACGTGAACGCGGCGCGACGTGACAGCCGTTGAAAAAGTATGTGATACGATGCACAGCCATGTAACTAGGCCGTTATATTGACAATGCGTCAATGCTCTTGGGCACCTCGGATCACTTCTGCTTCCATTCTGGCACGTGGTGACAAGAAGCATCCTGGCCTGAATCCGCCGCCGAGCCGCGTTGCACGCACTCCTGCTCAGACCCATTTACGATATCCCGGGACCGACTCGCTCACCGCGCTACGCTCAGGCCAGTTTACGACACTTGAACCCAAGGCGCCTACCTAGTCATTTTAGCGCCATCGCTACGAGCCTGTGCATTCGGCCCCCATCGGCTACGGAACGGCCCCAACCAAGTGAAGCAGCACACTAAGCACGGTCGAGCTCATTCCACGTACAGCCACTTGCTGGCTCTGGCCCCTGTGGTATACGCTTGGACAGTTTCCGTGCAACGTGAGAACGACAGGAGACTGAAACGTTGGTCAACCACGCCATGTCAGCTGGCAGCAGGGGTTGAAATTAACGGCATCAATCCTTGCCGGCGACTACGCTGCAATACGGTCATGGGTTGTACAAGACCACTACTGCCAAGGGAAACCATGCTCTTACCAAAGTGTTACATCTGGTCGCGGAATGTCTTCTTCTAATAGTCATAGAGACGCCTTGGACACCTCCTTCAAAAACCTGATAAGGTAATAGTTGTGAGGCTCCATTACCAATTTGTAGGAAAAGAATGATACAGAAGACTGTATGCCACAAAAGGTTCTACTGATGTCACAAAATCCCTCAGCTCCTGGTCTTTGCATATGCATCAAGATCCCTCATACAATCCATCCTCATATCCCTGCTTGTCTAAACATCAGAGGATCTCAACATCCTTGTGTTTCTATGTACTAATGTACATTGGGATTAAGGTGAGACTAACCTTGTCAAGGCAAACAAGGCAAATGAGGTAAACGAGGCGGAAATGATGTTCGGCCTGGCTGAGTATCGTTTGACCAATAGGATCAGATCCACGTCATAACTCTTGGAAAGCCAAGCGCCCCTGTCTCAACAGAGCAGAGCGTTCCTATCTCGCATGCACTGAGCGCTTGCTAAAAGCGTTGAGCAGAGCCACCGGACATGACGAAAGTCATGGGTAAATGACGTTGGTACAGTCTTTCTTAAAGCACAGACAGACTCTTCAGCTAATCTAACCATAAGATAAAGTGTATTGACAAGGGTGAAGAGCATGTTACAGAGTGGTCCTTGATATGTTGCATTAGCAACGGTGAGTCTATTGGATGGCGTAAAGAGTACTGTTCACTTGATTTCAGACTGCAAATGCATGACACCGCACCTGAATCATGGTCGTACTTGGCCCTTCAAGTCACAAACACTACGAGGGGTTTGCTTTGAAACTTGGCAGATATAGGTGGTATTCTTCAAAATGTATACGCTGCAAATAAAAACCCCCAGTTAATCACTCATCGCTCCCCCATCGCATGGTTCATCTACTTCATTTCATTGCCTAACTATAACTTGTTTCCTAATTGATGCGAACGACCATTCTGCCTACACGCTTGACACATTACAATCTTGATATAATCAATACTAATCCTACTTTGGTGTCTTGGTTGCAACGGGCTTCAAAGAGATCATGATGCTTACATCTTGTAAAAATAATAAAGATGAAACAATCGTACTCCTTGAGTACGATCGGCAACGATGGACTAAGAAAAAATGGTCTTCATTCATCATCAAGAAGAATAATTCGACTATCTGGATGGAAAAAGAAGCCTTGGGTCTGAAACCAGCAAACAAGCAAATGAGGAAGGAATTAAAGAACCAGAGTTGCTCACTTCTGGCCGAAGACGTGACGCGTTTATCAGATAAAACATTACGTTACCTGCAAGAGGAACTAGGTGTATCGCTGACTGAGTTACGAAATGCTTTGCTCAGGTTTGCGGTAGATTCGGATTCCCTCAAGAGTGAGCTTGTGAGTTTGCTACATAAGCATGGGCCCTATGTTTGGGGCAAAGAAGATCGAAATCACTTGCTGAAGCCCAACTCGAGTACACGATACGAGAAAGATTTATTTTATGACGATGAGAACGATAGAGAGATGTAAGTCTAACTTTTTTGTTTGCGTAAGATGTAAGCGTTCTCTAAGCTTTCTGTAGTATGAAAATACACCTCCATAGATGGGTCATTATGAAGATTTGCAATATTATAAAATACTTGGAGTGTAAGGAAAAGCAATATAAACATAAACAGACTACTGGTAGTGACAGCAAGGGTCTCGTAAGTCGCTTCCGTGTCTACATTGCCATCTACTTACTGTCCTGGACATGTACTCTTTTACTAATGTCAAGGCTAACAAACTGAAGAAGCGGAGGGCTAGAACCGTTTCAGCCAATCCTAACAATAGCGGGGTACAATTGAAAGCTGCAAAACGGCGGAAATTATCGAACGTTCTACAGCAATCGACCCCGGGGACCTCTGCCGTTGTCAACACCAGAGGATTTACCGCAGTCAACTCCCCGCTACCTGCTGAAGTGACACCCAAACACCAACCACAGGAAGCCGCGTGGAGTTTTGCCCAGGGACCCCAGCGATGCATCCCTGGAAGCGTTTTTTGTCACAACAATGGCTACAGGAGTCCACGTGAACCCTGTCCGCCTGTTTCAATGCCATCCCGGCTTGCCATTGACTCTCCCAGCTTCCTTTTACCAGTACCATTTGAATCTACTCCCGTAAGCAATAGTTTGCCGCCATTGGCTTCGGTTTTTTTCAAGAATAGGGGATGGGGACATTCAGAGAACTATCTTATAGTTAACCCTGCTCATTCCTCCCACGCTACACAGTCACAGCCACCATCACAAGGTGTAAAGCAACACGCACTCCAAATCTGTCGACCGCATCATCATCAGCATATACTGCCTCCACCACATCCGCATATTCAACACCAGCAACCTGCACATCAACCGCCTGTTCTACCCAATGCTTCAACACGCTACTACGAACGTTCTCGTGAACCCCGTCCTTATAGTAGGGACTACCCTGTAGTTCAGCATGCTCAGCTGCCCCACGCTCGAAAGCCACAGTCTCAGAGTCCTCAGCAACAGCCCGTTCAAACGCAGCACGATCCAAACGCCCTGCTTCCATCCGATCTGCGCATTCAATGCCCGCAGCCTTTAACTGGACTGCCTAGCTTACCCAATGTTTCAGTTAGCCCCTTTGGATATTCTCTTGCACCTCAACCAGCTCCAGCCATTTCCCGACAACCGGTTCCCCTCAAACGTCTCCTCCTCCTGCAATGCGATGTCACTGCTCGTCTATTACTGTTTTTTTTTCCTCGAGATTCGATGCGTCAGGACGAAACAGCGCTCTTCGAAGACCTACGCGAGCTCTGGTTGCAAGGCGAGTCGCTTTTCCGTAGAAAGCTCGCCACCCAATACGACCTTATTTCCGAAATCCTGAATGCCTGGCTTCAGCAACGAGAAGCTATCATTAAATTGCGCCACTCAACGGCTGCCAACCTGGGCGTCTCAAAGCAAGTAAATGTTGAGCGCCTATTGGCGCTCAACAACCTCCGGGCAATGCTAATCAAGTGGGATGACATGAGTCCCATTGATGGGAAAAGTTCTGAAGACCTGCTCTGCGTAGCCTTCAGCGTCATAATCAATTGCACGGATAACGGAGACCTGTTCAAGGATAAGCTTAAAGAGCTAAGGTCTAGTGTAGTTAATCTCTTACGCGGCGAAGACAGCAGGGGTATTTTGTAAAGGTAGGACACAAGAGCTGTGTGATTGAGCAGCTACAATCGTGGAGAGCGCCTGAGGCTCAGATATGGTGATAGTAGGAGGAACGCATACGTAGCATTCTTCGCGCTATACATAGAGAGGCCATAGACGTAAAACCGTTCAACAAACTCTTTCATGGTTTGCTTACTTCAATACATATTGAGTGCCGTACCTGAACTTGTGGGTTGTCATTGTCACTGTGGTGCTCATCTAATAAGCTTTGAGCGCCATATGGCTCGTCTTTTGTAACTTACCTTTACCTACCGAGCTCAACAACTCACTATTTAGTCAGTCGGCGATACGCCAATACATGGGGTTGGTTTGAGTTAAACTACTAGTGGAAACCGAACTGTTGTTGGTACACGATGAACAACAAAGTTCTAGTTTATTAGTTATGCCTTCTCTGCTATACTCTATCCCTCAGCACACCAACTGCGTATACTAGTGAAAGTGAAGGTGAAGGTGTTTGTAGTCACTATGGTAGGACTTGTGGGTGATGCATTTCCTACACCCGTTCAGTATACGACGGCACAACGGTTTACGCAGTAAAATCGAAAGAGAAGTCTACTGATTTGGTCTAGCTATTGCACCGTCAGGGGCGATTCATCATCTTGCGGATGGAATTTCTAAAAAGGGATCTAGTAGTTAGCAGTCTCAGGGCTGATTACGTGAGACGGAGTATGGAAAGTTATCTAATTAGAATCAGAATTGAGACATCTCACGTCCTAGAAAAAAATATGAAACCCTCCATGTGAGTTTAGCTCTGTTTTGAGCCATTGTCTGATTATAGGATAAGAAGAGAACAGGATATGGTTTTACAAGCCCGGGAAAATATGGAAGATGCTTACAACTACTACGGTGAAGGCTAGCATGGCTCGATCTCGTTGCTCAAAAGGATTATATTGCTACGGCATCATAGAAGATTCAATATTATTGCATGGGGACTACACTCGTCAGTCTTGGAAAGTATGTAATATAAGTGAGCGTTATGTTTATATGGACTCCTCCTGCAAGAAACGAGGTGGGGAGTAACAGAATAATAACTTCATTTGAGATGCAATTGAAGTTGTAATGCTAATTCACAAGCAAGCTGTCATTTCGGTGTCGATGTGAATCTGAAGCGTCAAACATAATCCATTGATTTATTGACACAAACGCTATCCTAAATACGAAGCCTCTGCTATAGGACCGCAGCATCAGACGGTCACGCTAATGGGCAGGGTTTTTGAAGTGCCCTTACTGAGGCGGCAACTCTTTTGCTAGCGCTGGGACAAATTGTTCAGAGTACGCTGAGTCGACAAACTCGTCAAACTTGGTCACCTTCCTACCGTCTTCTGTAAAGGTCAGGATCAACGCATACTCGTTCGTGTAGGGCCCAATCTTCGTTTCCGCTCGGCTAGTTGCATGTATAATACATTTTCGCGCTGCAGCATCATGTACTTCCTCTTTCACAGTGACCTAAAGCTGTTAGTCGTGACGAAACCGAGGCGGCAATGCTCGCTGACGGTAAAATTTGAGTACAGATGCATGATCTCGCTGAAATATGCCTGATATTCGGCGTTGCTCCTCGGGACCCGGTTCATAGAGGCAGGTAACACGCGATGTTTGCAATCAGGTGATCGATATGCCATGATGTCGTCGATGTCCCAGGTGTTGTAGGCTGCTATGACTGCCCGAGCTGTATCTTGCTGAGCTGCCAAACTATTTGTGTCAGGAGAGCAGTTCAATTATGTGCAAGGTTGATTGGATGCAGCTTTGGCATGATGCAGTTTGTACTCGTAGTAAAGGCGTACGTACTTTGGGAGGGGGTTGCTATTGGCATCTGTGAGACATTGTTTCAAGTCCAAGCCAATCCAGACATCACTCGACTCCGATTTAGGACTGGCCAGCGGATGAGAAGCGGCAAGTAATGATAGTGTTGTAGCAAAAATATTGATGAACTTCATAATGGCTGCTGTGAGAGGCTATGCGAATGGTACAAAGGGTGCATCCAAGCTGGGCAGCAGACATCGAGTTATATAGGAACATATACACTACAACAGTTAGGCCGAAAGCAGTTATCAGGGCTCATGTCACTACTCCATCTTCCAATGTAATATTTCACGTTTGGTATGTACTCCACTGTGTCTCATCGTCTTTTCGTCGCACAAGAACGCCAGGCTAGTGTCTCACCCACGGCAAAGCTATGAAGAAGCTGATAACATCATCATCCTTTGCCGGGTAATGATGATTTTAGCCAATATCTGGCGAGCATGGACTACTTAGCTGTAACGTTGTCCGTGGCCATGAAAATCTACATTGCCAGTTGCGCTGGCTGCGATTGGGGGTCAGCAGTCTTGTCTATGTTAACGTCATGAGACTGCGGGAATACGAGCGAAAGAACGGAGTCACAGAGCGCCATGGTAGACACCGGAGTGTCACGAAGCGTATCGCAGACACCCGCGTGACCCGTGACTGATACTAGGAGTTTTCTAGCTGCTGTCCGATGCGCGAAGGCATCGTACTGGCGACGGCGTATGAATAAGACTAAAAGTGCCAGCGAACTGTATAAAACCGTCGCACGGCATAAACTTACCCCAAGCCAGCAGGCCTACTGTCTGATTGTGAATGGCGAGACGATAACAAGTACTAAGGACAAGGCTGAGGCCCTCCGGAGAGAGCTGCTTGACAGATTCAGCGCGACGGATGACCTCCCAAGTTCATCGACAGCATGCTAGGGGGATTTTACTCCCCAAAATCCCTGGACCAGTCCTCCAGCCACCACACTTTTCGGGCGGCTGCAGGACGGATCCCACTAGTGGCAGCGACAAGAAGTCCGCCAACAAGGTATTCAACAAGTGGTGGGAAACCGTTAGCAACTCATATATCAGAATCACGTCCTAAAAAGCACAAACGAGTCACGTACGGGTACGTGCTATACCGCGGAAAATAGCAACTGCACACTGGGAGAGGATCGCTCCACAAGCTGTCGTATGTATTCGACGTCGAAGCATTCGGAGCCTTCAAGGGCCTTGAGCACCCTGCCCGTATTGCAGGGCCAAACAACACGTTTTATATGTGCATGAACAACACCGCCGTTACATGGTGCCTAAGAGGTACGGCGTCGCCCGGCTCCCAATAGGTCTTTCTCTCCTGTCAGGAAATCATTGACAAATGAGACGTAAGAATACGCTGGTCCCCCAGTCATTTGAATATAGAAAGCAACGAGACAGCGGACCGCCTCGCAGCCGCCGAAGCAAGAAACCTCTCTCGACAACAAGGCAAAGCGAACTCTCTAACGGTATCGAGAATTGGCTCCATCAGGAAGCAACAGGTTGACAACGAGCACCCGCGCTGGTTGAACAACACGAACAGAAACTTGTCACAGGATTACAGCCAGTGGCACTTCTTGTACAGCCCTACTCGCTCCCCAAAAGAACTCCTGCTATCACAACCATCCCTCGCCAAATTGCTCGCTACCCGTACGGGATACGGCGACTTTGCCTGATATCACAAGAAGTTAAATCACGAAGATGCCGCCTTGACCTGCAGATGTGGGAGATGTAAACCCCCCTGAACATCTCATCCTCTGTCGGCGATCGAAAGCGGTCTCCAGCATGTAGCCACAACAAGCTGGCCTTCTCCGGGAGAATAGAACGGAGGTTGTCGCACATGTTTTTGAAGCTTCCTAATTTACGCCCAATGCCTCTATAGAATTCTAGCCATGATTCTTCTTAATTAGATCGATGTCAAACTGCCTTTCGACAGGGTTTTTATAATTCCATGAAGCGTCCAAAGAAGTAACGTGCAGGCGTTGGTAGACGCAGGGCCCCTGATCTATTTAAAACAGTGAACTCGAGCTTTAGGAGAATTCAACAAAAAGGTCGTAGTTATAACCCAGCCTCTTCGCGTTACTATACTCAATTAACTCGGTAGATAACATTCAAGCTTTTACTATCGTCCTTCTTCCATCATCTTATTAACAGTTTTAGAGCTTCAAGCGACGTTTTTACAGTAGATTTATCTAAATATGTCGCTACGAATTCTTTCATACGCTCGCTCGAAGAAAGAGGCCTCACTAGGGACTGCCACATACATCCTGTCAACCCATATCACCTCAGAACGGTTGTTGGGACACTCTCTCGTGTCAAAAATAGATCTCACGTAGATACAGCCTACATGAACCTGTAACTCTTGCTGCCCAGTGTTTATCAAAGGCTGTAGATCCAGATGAATCTGCTTGACCACTTCCACATACACCGGATCTATGCCGCCAATAGACAAAGTCTTGAGACAAGAGAGCATTGACGTACGCATGAGAATGAGATCACTGAGCTGACTTGGTGATGCGGTCATCTCTGCCTCAGACAACCCAAACACGAGTGTCTCGACGTTTGGGGGAACTCGCATGGATAGGCACCACTCTTCCCACCTGACGTTGCTGTCCATGACCATAACATCTCCAACTGCAACACAGTGCCACATCTCTGGCGCAGTGACGAGAACCTTGAGCGCCGTCATGTGTGAGAGAGACTGTATAAGTGCGCGCCTTTGATCGACCTTGTCTTCATAGTAGTGAACGTCCACGTCAAGTATAAGCGTGTGCAACGTGGTCTCATGGGGTCTAAGTAGCTCAACAAAATCAGCAGGCGAGGGGCTCCAAGGCCGAAGCCCACATCTCCTGGTTGTGTACAAGAAACTTCTCAAACCACTACAGCATTGCAGCAGCGACTGCAAGTCTGATACTCGTAGACAACAATTCTCCAATTCAATCCGCTCTAGGACCAGTGTTCTGGACACAAGAGCCAACTGCGAAAGTTCTTGTATCATGGGCTGGTGCCGGGTGAGCTGTGGAGGCCTCGAGGTAGCGTGGGACGCCTTCAGGACTCGCAGTCTGCTTGAAGCTAGTAGTGGTTGGAAGAAATCAAGAGGCCATTGCAGCTCGCCGTCTACTGCACACGCCACCAGCGTCCGTAACTCTGGAAAGCCGTGCTTCGGCTGCCAGCTCACGGCATACATATCGCCTGGCACACCATCAAGAGTAATTTCTCTCACGTTCGGAAGCAAAGCAACTAGGAGTACGACGAGGGGGTCTTCGCTGCCTGCATGCAGCTGGTCGCAAAATGTGCGGTTGCATAAGTGCACGCCGTTGGGATTCGGCAGAACAGTAGCAGTACCGCATCTAGTCTCATTCACAATTTGGCTGTTACAGGTACTGCAGTCAAGCTCTGCATCTTCTTGTATCACCTCGACATCTCTAGCGGCCTGGACGAGCAGAATATAATCCGCTGCGGTGAGCTTTGCGCCCTGAGCACTGATGTGCTCATGCCGCTTATTGCGGGTCTCATTTCGGGTCTCGTTCGACTCAAGACCTCTATCCTGTAACGTATTGAGCGCAGTCCAAGATCTGAGACTTAGCTTTCGAGTATGTCTGCGTAGCTCAGGGCGATGGATGATTCGTTTAAGGAAAGGCAAGAATGAGCGGCGAAATTGAGACACATTGCTATACTCTCGAAAAAGCTCAGGCTCGGTAGCCAACCGCAGACGCTTGCATGTGAGAGATAAATTAAGAAGTTCTTGCTGCTTCAAGGACGACGCCATTAACTGGAGCAGTTCTGTACTTAGCGTAAGGAGCGACATAAAGGACTATGTGTGAAGCGCAAATCGCGTAGCGGGCACTTAGCAATTACTAAAGGCGCACGCTTTACTGTCCCTACTATCCCCTTACGAAGGCGTTCAGAGTAAGCCAATGAAGTAGGCTATCGGCGGGGAAGAGCGCACTACCAACCTCCTTTCACGGTGATGTACAGGCAAGCTGTCAGTAAGCGGGTAGTCCAGGATACGTAGTTCATGCATTTCTCTTTCCATGTGGCTGGCTGTCCTAGTAGATATACCTTCTCCGCGGACTCCTAGTAATCAGATTCGTGATGGTGAGACACATGGAAGTCAATCGTATGGGTAGGGCGGAGCTGAGCTGGCAGCACAATCCTGTGTACAGCTCTTTGACGCCATCCAGTGTTGAGGATTAGATACCAGCCAAGCCCTGTACGAATGAGATAAGTATGTGAGTGGTTTTTGAGGGTCTTTAATCGCTGCTCTCCTTCAGAAGTGCAGCGTACCATCTCGCACCGCATCGCCCATAATACCAGCCTGTACGACCATGTTCACAATCCTGGGGCGGCAACGCTCGCACTCTTAATAGTCGCTGCTTTGGCACAGGGGCCTGCACAAACAGCGACCGGCAGCCCCATGAGCGCCAGATCCTCAGCCACATCAGCGGCCACAACTTCGATCACCGTTTCTCCAATCTCTACTGTCGACACACAAACCAGCGCCACTGAAGTACGGTACCATACGGTCAAAGCCGGCGCAGGCGGCTTCCACTTCGAACCCGCAGAGCTAGCCAATGTGTCTGTTGGAGACGTCGTCACATTCGAGTTCTACCCGCCAGATCACTCTGTCGCTCGAGCGGAGTTTGGAAGCGCATGCGTGCCCTACGAATACACGGGAAGAGATAGGACGGGGTTCTGGTCAGAGACGCAATGGGTCGAGACACCCAGCAATGTAAGCAGCCGCCTGGACATCTTCAGGCAGTGCGAAGCTGTTGACTGACGAAGGAAGATTACGTACTGGAACCTGACAGTCAACAGCACAGAGCCAATCTTTTATTACTGCGCCGCCCCAGATTCGTGCAAAGGGAAGCAGATGGTCGGCGTCATTTAATCCAAACGCTACACAAACGCTCGATGACCAGATACTAGCCGCAGCCAGGGCCGACTACCAACTAGCACCGGGTGACCGCGTGCCCAATGAAGCGTCTTCAGCCTTTGTCTCTCCACTGACGGTTAGCTCACAGGCAGACCTCGTGTCGGCTAATAAGCCGCCCCCAAAGCTCTCTACGGCTGGCATTGCTGGCATCACTGTCGGTGCGATCCTGCTTCTTGTGCTGTGTACGGGTGTTTTGTTTTTTCTCGCCCGCAAGGCTTGCACGGGGCGCCAAACAGCTCCTTGGCTACATAGCCAGACCGGCCACAACAGCAAGCAGCAAGTCGAAAAACCTCCTGTTCAGCTTCCAGTAAGCAAACGTCAGTATGTTACACTTATTTTTCTCAATCTAGAATATCAATCTCATCTAACTAGCCTAGATTCATATCAAGCTCGGCAATCTAAGTGGGGCAGCAATAGCTATGTTGATGGAGATGACTAGAACGATGATCAACCGTAAGTGAATGTGTTCATGCTTATAATTGACAGTCTTGTGTATCAATCTTCCCTTCCAGGTTCGACATGTCGGTTGGTTCAATCTACTGTCAATGTAATTTTGGCCTAAGTGAGCTTATGGTGTTTTGTGTCAGCAGCACGCTTAGCTCTCTATCGAATACAATCTTGTTACCTTGGCCTGTCCGATTATGCTCCCGAGCTTCCTTCGTTAAAATGCTGTAGGCTGACAGCTGGAAAAAATTACTGAATGCGAGAGGTATGCGACACTTCACTACCAGAGGGTAGCTCACCTCGTTACTTGATGATACTGCCTGATGTTAGCTGTGGAATTGTTCCTTGAGTGATGCTTCGCGTCCCTTGGTCTGTTAATTCGTCGCGGTAACGATAGCACCTATTGAGCGATATGATGCGCGCTGGAAGCAGTTTGGCAAAGAGATCTATAAAGTCATATGGCGTAGCACGGCGTCGAGCTTAAGTTGGGTAGCTGTTCTTGATGGACGCGTCCGTAGACCAAGGGTTGCACGCGACCGTGCTAATGATGACATATAGTAAGCCAACGTCTGCGGCGGGTCAATCACCCTTCACCCCCTCCCCCCTATTACTAACAGGCTAACTCTACTTTCTTACTTACTACAATATAGCGTCCGTATAGGGTGTCAAATAAACCGTTATAACCTCTAGTATCTTTCTACGTCCTCTATTTCTTGCTAGCGATCCTACAGCGCATGTAAATGGGGGGGCAAAGTAGAGCTTTTTTCTATGTGCGTCAGTGGAGTTCTTTTCGCACAGACGTTTTCACGCATCGATAGTGGTAGCACGTGCGTTGACCGAACGGGCAAATATATTTTCGTACTTCTAAACACGCCCCTTAACTGTCCCTGTACAAGTTTATACCCTACACAGTTTTATTATATACGTGAAAAAATGCCCCCTACACGATCAGCACGAACTCCTATACAGCCTGTTTTTACAGAGGCTCTTAGCCAGGTATACTCCCAGATATACTGTACAGGTTGTCGGCAGTATTATCCAATCCAAAACTTCACTATCAATCGTCTCGGTGCTCCTTACCAGCCCTGTAAGACTTGTAAAACAGTACGTACAGGTTCATCTCTAAGTGTGCGTATTATTTACTTCTTTATAGACTACCCGTCCTGCCCCGCGCCGTCGTTTACGTCCTCCCTCTTCTTCTCAGATTGAAGCTCCTACACCGCAAAGAGCGCGAACAGCTTCTCCACATCGTAGTACAGAGGAGACGCTTCTCCAGAATAACTCTACCGAAGGTGTACCCCAAGTACCACCCACAAGCACTCCTGAACCAGACGAGTTTGACGGTGACGTGTTTAATACACTTCCTAACGAAGCCTCTCAAATCCTAGAGGGTGCCGCCCCTCCTATACATACATCCAGAATATTACGATATTGGTCCATTACGGGGGTCTTGTCAGTACTGCGAGGCCATGCACTGGGCAGCCGAACGGACGTCCACATCGTCTATCTCTGCACTAAGTTTTACGTTTTGTTGTGGTGATGGACGGGTACGGCTTCCAGCATTTCAGCCATTACCTACGTACCTCTATAGTCTTCACAGTCCGTCTGCAGAGGCTGTTCGCTTCCGTACTAATATTCGGTCGTATGATTCGGCCTTCGCTTTTACTTCTATTGACTGTACACCTACAACGCGCGGTGTGGGAATGTCAGGTGTACAAGTGCTTCAGATACACGGCGCTCTTCACCATCGAAACGGTCCTATAGAGGAGACTGGAGAAGATAGTTTACCTTCGTACGCGCAGCTATACTTCCATGACCCTCAGTACGCTGCTTCTATACGTGCTCAACGGAACCCCCATCTTGACGAAAGGATTCTACAACAACTTACGTCTATGCTATGTGAGGTTAACAATCCGTACATTAACATTTACCGTACGGCAAAGGAGCGGCTATGTGAGGCTGCCAGTAATGACACTCGTGTTCTTCTAACAAGTAATTTACGCTTCACGTTAGAAACAGGTACGGATCGGCGACTGGAAAATATCCCAACAAGTGATGAAGTCGCAGCGGTTATTCCAGATACGGCCGCATCCGAAACATGCCGTCCAATCGTCCTTGAGGCGCGTAATTCTTCTGCACTATTTCGTATCACCGCTACCCATCCGACGTATATGCCTTTACATTATATTCTCATGTTTCCGTGCGGTGACAGCGGATGGCACCCAGGACTAACACTATCAGAGAATTCCTCTCGTGCTAGCCTAAAGCTTACTTAACAGATGTACTTTTGGTATTATCTCCATCTACGTCTAGCTCTTGCGTATGCCCCCCCCTACGGGTGGTGCTATAACCGTGGTTGGAAGGTTGTCGTGGATACAACAGACGTTTTCGCCCGTACGGAGATTTGCAAAGGAGAGACAGGAAGTGTCGCGTTGTTCGGATCCCGTCATGAGGAATGGGAGACATAACTTATCAGCTCAATAGAGTTTATCTTTACAGTCTAGTTATGTCGTATAGGGAACGTACCTGCTGTAGTAGATGGGGTATACATCAAAGGCGAGCTACTCAACTGTTTCGTTTGCGTTGTTGGCGCATACCTGCGTTGCAGCACCATCTCCTTATCTACTTTCGCCCGGTATAGATTGCGAACAAGGCAGGGTTTAGCGGTCTACGATTTGCCGATTGCTCTTGCGGCTGAGTCAGGGCTGCTCTTTGCTATCAACGCGAAAGCCCGGGCGGGAGGGTTTCCTTTGCCGCTGCATCTCGCCTGCTTTGTTGCAAAGGGGCACATTCTGTTAAGTAGATCTATCCTGTAGCAATAACTAATGCATAACGTTCGAAATCTCGTTCGCAAGAACGGTGTTCCCGCCTTCGCGTATCCTGCACACGATGCATCCACGTTATGGTCATGCAACCTAAAAATTATACACCGCAATACGGAATTCACTATATCTCTTGAACATCCCATGGACGTTGATGGCGAGCAGCGACTTGTTACTCTTCGCTATGAAGGCGACAATCTTGTGCACGGCGGAATGTCGCTCGAGTATCGCGACATTAAGGTTCCAGCTGAACCTGTCTTCGGGAAACTACGGCAAGGAAACCCTAAGCCTCAACTATTGTCGCTGACGCTCAAATAATCGTGTTCAGTGTGGTACCCAAAAGGGCATTCGATGCTCAACATTGGCTTTGAGAGACTCTTGATGCTGGCACAGGCGACAAATATATGCATCTACTTCGACACTTGTTGGCTAGGTGAGAATACCGCAGAATTTCAAGAGATTGTCCGAAGCTCTCAGGCGTTCGTTGGGGTTCCGCTTATCCCACAATTTACCAGTCTTTACCAAAAGGCAGACTGGCAAATTCTCAACTTTATCCTGGCTGCTGAGCGCAGGACCTATATTCCTAGCGAAGACTCGGTGTCTGAGGCTATACTCTCCATTGAGCGTGTAAGCGCTGAGGCACCTCCCTCCGAAGATGCGATACACGATAATCCCCCTCCGTACGCGCATGATAACAATATGTTGGGTAAACGCTCGAGACGTACGTATTCTAGTCATATGCTGCATTGAGATGTGACTAATGTGCATTACCTAGCTGATTCTAGCTTGACGCTTGATGCTCAGGATTTGAAGCGCGCCCGAGGACATTCATGCTCATCCTCGGAAACAGAACTCGCTACTCCTGCGCCATCGCTTCGGGCTGAGTCAACAGCTTCGTCTACTGCCACCGTTCCAGCTGACCTTTTCCAAGAAGCTGTCACTTCTGCCGTCGAGAAGGTGCTCTCACCCATGTTGGAGAAGAAACTTGTACAATTGGTTAGGGAGGAGCTCCCACGGGTGGTAGCAGAGCTTTTTCGGGAAACGCCTACTGGCCAATCTCCCTCGCAATGCTTGTCACCAGCATCACCTTGCAATCGAATCCCAAACGTGCTCACACACCACGATGCGACTTCCACCCATCATCCTACTCTTAACACAATGATCAATGAAGCTGTCCAGAAAGCCTTGAAAGAAACCTGGCATGAACCTCTCGATCGACATCACCAATCTATTACTATTAGTTTAGATGAGCATAGCGAGGATTTAAGGATTGGCTTGGAAGCTAGTCACGAGGACCATATGTTCGATTGCAACGACAAACGTTACGAAATGGAAGCAGAGTTCAACCAGCATCTATTGGATGCCCTTGACGCTTTTGTAGATATTGTCGATAAGGTGGTAGAGAATTGTTTGAACAAGTTTGGCGATACTATTAGCAACCAAGTGTTTTTTAGACGCGGGGATGCCCTTGTTGCGTCAAAACAAAGCCAGAGGGCGACATCTCTGCCTGTTTCGACGTATGACAACAAGAGAATTGCGGAGGGGGCATAAATTGGAGGAGCACGAAACAGAAAAGGCGCTGCATCACTGGTTGACCAACTATTCGCTATTCTTAAGGTTTGGATGCACGTAGCAATTTGTATAGCACATTGCCCTATGATCAGAATTAGAGCGACGCAGTTGTTTTGAACACTAATGTCCATCCCTGAGACCCGGGACGCACCCCGAGGCGAGACGGTTTTGCACTTCGGACCTCCGGAAAACTGAACGCGCAGGCCAATAAATTTGTAGTTTTTGTACATGAATCTACTGTACTACCCCTTTATCTGGACAGCCTCCGAACAAGATTCATGCAAAATTGAACATGCCGCTGATCTTTATCTCAACGCGGTTGGACCCCTCCTTACTCCTCAACCCCTGTCCAAACGCGATTTTACGTTTCTATGATATATTCGGATATCTACAAAGAAAGTATAGGAGTAAAGTTTTATTGTCCTAGATTTTAGCACTACCTGATAGCCAAAATTGTGGATGCCGGCAGTTTCGCCGTGCGGAGAAGGAGATGCACAGAAGCCTCCCTGGGTAGCGAGATGCGTTTTATTGAGTTGAAATGATAACATAATGCTGTAATGAATTCAGGCGCTATTCCCAATTGCTCTTGGTCTCTAAAAATAGATGTGGCGCGTGTTGTGGGTCTTCAATGCCTCCCTCACGACCCCTCCAAGTGACGAGGGATCATCTGCACTGTAGACTTTTACTAACCACCATGGATAAGGCAAGTCGAGTGTTAGCCCAAGGCGTCCCTCCTGGCGTGCGTAGATCATACCGTACCCTGGCAGACCACGGCGGAGTCCCTTGTAGTACCCTCCATCATCGTGCCCAAGGCCGTCCTTCGATGCAGGACAAGGCACAGAGCCAGCAGTACCTGACACCGTGGGAAGAGAGCGCACTCGTCAAATTCATCTTACACATGTCAGATCTCGGGCGGCCCGTACGAATCAAGCACATTCCCTCGCTCGCCTTTGTCGCTACCCGCGGTCGGTCCGTGACGAATAGACCCTCCAAGCCCCCAGGTAAAAACTGGGCAAAAGCCTTTGAGAAGCGCCATCCAGAGACGGCAGCGAGACGCGTCACAGCGCTAGACTGGAACCGCCATGAGAATAACATCGCCAACAAGATGACACATTGGTTCAAGGTGATAGGGAAGGTACTGCGTGATCCAGCTATCGTGGCTGAGAATGTCTATAACATGGACGAAACTGGGGTCATGCTATCCATGCTTGGCTCGGTAAAGGTGCTCGTAGGTAAGGATGATAAACGAAGCCATAGAGGCGCGCGCGTGAAGCGAACGATGGTGACTGCTATCGAGTGCATCAGCGCTGACGGTAGGTACCTGAACCCGATGATTATTTGGCCAGCCACCACCCACCGTAGTAATTGGACTACCTTTCCGACTCCTGGATGGCATTATGCGTGCAATGAGTCTGGATACAGCGACTCCAATATCAGCTTGCAGTTGCTCAAGCGCGTGTTTGATCCTGAGACCAAGGAACGTGCTGATGGGAGACCGCGTGTACTAATCCTTGACGGCTTCGGGACGCATGAGACGCTTGAGATCTTAGAGTACTGTTTTGCAAACAGCATCATCTTGTGTCGTCTGCCCTCTCACACGTCTCACAAGCTTCAGCCTTGCGACGTTGCTGTATTTGGCCCACTGAAGACAGCCTACCGTGAACAGGTCGAACGATTAGAGCGAGGCGGCGTCAACACTATTGGCAAGGAGCATTTTACCTATCTATACAAGCCGGCCAGAGAGCGAGCATTCACGGCTAAGAACATCAAGGCTGGCTTTGCTGCAAGTGGTTTGTTCCCGCTCAATCCAGATAGAGTACTCAGGACTGTGCCGAAACCTCCAGTCGAAGTAGCTCCTGCGGTGACTAACGAAGCACCTTACCAAGAAGATGCAGTGCTGCAAACACCTATAACACCAGTGTCAGCGGACGGTCTTATGTTGCTGCAAAATCTCATCTTGAAGGACGCACATGCTCTTGACGAAAACAGCCAGCAGAACTTGCAGCGACACTTACTAAAACTCGCGAAAGCTACCCAGCTGTCTTTGACTAAAAGTACTCTCCAGCAAAACCATATCCAACTCCTGATGGCAGTCAATAACGAAGCTAAGCCTCGACGGTCAACTAGAGCCGATATACTAGAGAAGGGGTCCGGGCAGGTGTTTAGCTATGAGCATCTTCAAGATAAACGGCTGAGGCGAGCGGAAGAGGCGGCAGCCAAAGAAGCTAAGGCTAAAGCTAAAGGGAAGCGCGGTCGGAAGAGCAAGAATGCTGCACAGGAGACAGCAAAAG